GTTGGCGTTACTGTCTTTTCTATGTTTGATTAATTTTAATAGCTGAATTATTTTTTGTTTTTTTTGTTATAAAACATAATTATTAATAGATTTATTGTATTTTTTGTTTACTTATTTGCTTTTTTGGTCATAAATACATATGTAAGGATGAATAATCAGAAAGTATTTGAAAAAAGACAGAATAGACTTATTAGTAAGTCTTCGTTTTTGATTCTTTTTCTTCCTATTTTTACTCTTTTTTACTTTATTTTTTTTCTTTTTCGCATTGGTTTTTTTCTATTGTTCGTTCTGAAAAAAGAGCTGGAGAATTTTTTTTAAGTTGAAGGAGGAGGAAAGTTGGGGAAGTTGGAAGTTGCGGATAGGGTTGAAGGGATGGGAGAGGAGAGGAGGGATGTATGAAAAATGATGGAAGAAATTGTGCCGATGATGAATTAATTTTTTTCTCTAAGTTCCATTTTTTTTTCTTGCTCAGGAAGAGACTTTGTTTTAATTATTACTACTTTGAGTAATAATGTTATTGTCTTTATTACAGTTGTTATTATTATTACTGCTTTATTACTGTTATTACTGTTAATGTTTAGTGGTGCAAGAAGACCTGTTTATTGGATTATTGGCACTACCGTATCGTTTAGTTTGGTTAATGGTTAAAACTTTGCCACTACATTTTTAGTTGCTGCTTCATTTTTCCTCTTTTGATATTCTTCTTTCTTTATAAATGTTACAACAACAAAAACAGCGACAAAAAATAATATTAATATTGATAATTTAATTATAGTAGTATTTTGAAGTTTTAGGCCTAATGCGTTGTTTTGTATGAGCGTAACTGTTGACGTTGTTAATGTCCGCTGGTTTTGGTTCAGTTTTTGTAAATTCGTTCTGTAAATTTGTTCTTTTAGGATTGCGTGAATACGGAAGAAAAGTGAAACAGGGCGGCTTGAAGAGTTATTTCTTTTTTTTTCTGCTGTAATCTATGTATCCAATCACTGTCATACTGTTTGCTAAACAATTCGATGGCACATGAGAATTGACTGATCATGCGTGTTTGGAGCATATTTATTCATTGTTGAACTGCATTTCGATATTTAAAGCAACAGAAGAAAAAAACTATATTTTCTGGTTTTCGAATGCCTTATTTTTTCTTTTCTGGCTTATCATTAAACCTACAAGTTTTTTGTCTATTTTTTTTTTTTTTTTTTGTCATTTTTACTAAAAAAATCGTTTTTAGAGGGAAGTACGGTTAGCGTTTTTTTTTTTGGCAGAAACAGTGAAATTTTTTGAATGTTGTCCAAGTTCAGGAACATTTTACAGTCTCTGGAATAGAGTGGCTGGAGGGAAGGGGAGAAGATTAAGATGGGTAAGAGAGAAAACGATGGAGAGATGAGGGGCTAGGGAAGAAGGAAGAAAAAGGAAGGAGTTGGCATAAAACGACATTTCATCCTTCAGTGAAGAATGTATTGTGAGGAGGAAAACAGAAGAACGAAGAACAGTAACAACAGAGAAGGAGTTCCAAGGAGGGATCATCTCTGTCGTTATTGTTGTTTCCCTTCATAAAAGGTTTATTTTTTAAGTAATTCAAAAAATATTTTACGAGTACGGTTTTTGTTGTTCTTTTTTTATCCTTTTTTTGTATCTTCTTTATCATTTTGATAGTAATTATTCCTGCACTGAAAGTCGGTATAGTTAACAGAAAAGAAAAAAATTATTTCTGTTGGGTAATACTGAAATTTTTACTATTAGTTTTGTGTCGCCGCTTAAAAAGAGAAAAGAAGGGAAAGGAAAAAATTAGAAAAAACTCTTGATTTTTTTTCTTTATTTTACTAAAATAAGAGAGACCTTGAAAAAAATTGAGGAAAAGGAAATCGAGAAACCAAAATAGTTTTAAGTGATTATTTATAAATCGATTTAAGCAAAAAGAATGAAGGGTTAGAAACACAGTGCGGAAAGTGTAGTGGAAATATTACAAGGAAGTCGTACCTGTATATATGGAATATATATTTAGAAAAACTGTATGCATGCGTATCTACCCATACCTATATATGTATTTGTACTCTTTTGTGTTTGTATATGTTTGTATGTATGCGTTTGAACATGCCATCGTAACTGTTTGACTGTCCACAACCGAGAGGAGGTGGGTGGCAGGGACAAGGACTGAGGGCGATACAGGTGAAGCAGAAGAAGGCGATAACGGGAGGTAGGGGTGTAGGGAGGAGGCTAGCGGAGAATGGACAGGTATAGTATATTTTAGTTCACTTTGGTTGTTGATGCTGTGCGTAGCATTCAGATTTGATGTGAGTGCTTCGCTTAAAACTCGATAACAGTCACGAAACACTAAGGACATGGAGACAACGAAAAAGCAGAAAAAAAAGGAATAGCAATCTTTTTTGGCTTTTCGTACAAATATCTTAGAAATTTTTAGCTTATTTGGTTTGCACTGCCCGGGTTTCGTTCTCTTCGCCATTTGCAACGCTCTTACCAATAGAGCAGTGCTCAATCCCATCACTATCAGTACCGTTGTCATCACCTTAGAATTCCAAATGTTCGATGTTTACATTTTGTATGCAGGCAAATGACAATACAATCAAAAAAAAAAAAACAAAAAACAATTTGAAAATGATTTCTTTCTATATTTTAATTTTCAAAAATTAATTTTGTTTTTTCTCTGACTTTCTTTTGGACAAAACGGTTGTGTTTGAAAGTGAAAAAAGTTGATTTAAGCAATAACAAAGACATTTATGCAAAGCCGTTTTTTTGCTCTCGTCTTCACCAGTGTCTGACCACATATTTTTCTCAACTGTTTAATTTTTTCTATTGGTGTAGTATTTCTGATCTTTTTTTTTTTTAAATGAGATACAAAAAAACAATCATAAAAAATATTACTGCTGTTTGCTGAGTAGCAAGTGAGCTGTTGACGAAACGTATATTTTGTAACTTGGTAGCTCTTTTATAAATCTCGATCTCGATCTTCTTTTCTGCTCAGAGCAGCAGTATTGTCAGATCAATTATCGATTTGGTTTAACCGTATAAAAAATATAATTAAATTTATTCAATTTTAGTTTAGACTACAGTTTAAACTTTGATCTATGTCTGCTAATGATCACAAGTTTGGCATTTACTTTTTGTATTTTGTAAACTATGGTGCAATGGTGTTCATTGCGGTTGACCATAAGTCTGTTATTTTTTTCTCTTTTAAAATGTCTATTTAGGTTTTTTTTTACTGAGTAGGATATGGTGACAGTTTTTTTGCTGACTCTAAATCGTTGATCATTTGATTATTCAATAAGTCATTTTAGAAAAAAAAAACTTTCACTCTCATCTGACGATCGTTTTATGAAGTTTGATCTCTTATTGTCAAATATATATGAAGGAAAAGTGAAAGGAAGTCTTTTTTTTGTGTTTTTTTTTTCAGTTTGTTTTTTTTTTCTTTTTCTTCTTGTTGCTTAGTCAGAAAGTCAGAATTTTTGATGGCGATGTTGGTGGTTGAGCTAAATTGTTGTGGTTGTTGTTCTTGTTGCTATTGCCGTTGCTTTTCTTATTGTTATATGATCGGGGGATGGGGGACAAGGGGGTAGGGGGAAGGAGGAAGGAGGGAAAAGGGATGTTTTTTCCGATAACAATAACTGCTGGGAGACGATTAGTGAAGAATTAAAAGATGGAAATATTAATTTCCTGGTGGATGATTCTCATCTGTCATCGTCGTTAGTCGTCGTCAGCGTATCATAATTCTGCTACACATCCGGTGTTTGTTTGATTTCAAACTCTCAACTTTTCCCCTTTTTTTATTTATGGATTCCTTTTTCATTTTAATGTCAGCAGGTTCAAACGGAAACGAAATAATTGTTTTATTTTTCGATTATCACAAATAGTTGTCTAAATACAGGCTTTCCATTTTTCGTTGCTATTGTTGCTTTCACTAGTATCGTTACTGCGGTTTTATGATTAATCTAATTGCTTATGTCCAAGATAAGTTGAATGAGTTTTAAAGAAACATAAAAATTGAAAATTTATTTTCTTTTTTTCAAATTTATTTTTTTGCCATCTCATTTTTCTTGTTTTGTTTTTATTACCTTAAATTTCAATTCAATATTTATGTTTTCTTGAATAATATATGATATCAATTGCTTATGTCACTTTTTTTCAAATATTTATTATAATTTTTTCAAAATAATGTCAAGATTATGATTTACTTGTTAGCTGATTGATCTGTGTACATATGCTATCATTATGGTAAAAAGCAGAGACAAAGATGATGGGAAAAAAAGGTTAGTTTTTTTCTTTACATCTTTTCCTTTTTTTTCCGTTTATTTTGTTTCACCAATTTTTGTTCTATTGATATATCAGTAAACGACGTTGACATTTGTTTTTGAAAAAAAAAAAAAAAAGAGCTTAGATTTTTTGATTTTGTTGGTATCAGTTATGGGTGTTTGTGTGTATGAGCACTTTGTAGAAAATTATTTGGGATACTGTCGTTTTTTTCTTGCGTGTTTCTATGTGTTTGGATAAGATTTAACAGAAACCGGTCTGAACAATCTTTATTTTTACTAGACATAGATGCTGCATGTGTGTAAGTGTGTGTCTGGGTGTATAGGTGTTTAGTATTTGCATGTGGACTGACGACATATCTATTTATTGTTCATCAAGCCTTTTGTACGTGGGCGAATGTCCAATACGACTATCGCTATTAGCAGAAAAAGGAGAAGAAAAAACTATGTGTAAAAGTTTTTGGTCATTATAAAATAGGCAACAGGCCTAAAATTATTATTTCCTATCTGTTTCTTTTGTTTTTCTTTCGCTTTTTTTTGTGATATACTTGTTGTTTAGTGAATAATAATGGACTGTGTTTAGTACACCAGATTGGTGTTGCTAAGTAATTGATGATACATTTTTTAATGAAATGAACTGGTTGTATTTGGTACTAAATTATTTACTTTTTATTTTGCCTTTTTTGTTTTTGTTTTTTTCTGTAGCTGAACAAGCCAGTAGGTTTTGAAAGTCGAATAAACATGGTAACGCAAATTGAAGATGAAGAAGAAGAAGAAGGAGAAGAAGAAGAAGAAGAGGATAATAATGGCGATGATGTTACAGAAAGGGAAAAGAACAGTTCCACGTAGCAAGAAACTTGTCGTGGCTAGGTCTATTTGATTTTTATTTTTTTTTTTTAGCGTTTATGTAAAAGGGAAAATTCTATCAAATGGCCGTTATTTAAATGGTATTGGTTTATTGAAAACCTGTACTGATCGCTTGGGAGGAGATGGAGAAGAAGGGGAAGAAGTTGCGTTGTTGCTGTTCGTATCCAAATGTCAACACTACCAAAATTGAATACTAAGCCAAGTTGATTTTCTTGAGAGGGGAGGAAAGGGTTGGGAGAGGAGAAGGAGATTAGTTTGGAAGAAGGAGAACGGAAACAGCAGGAAGGTATGGGGAGAAGGAGGCGGGAAGAAAAAGCTGAAAATTGATCGAAGGAGAACAAAGTTTTTTAATTTCGTTTTACTGCATTAAAATATTCTGATGATTGGATT